ATGAATCCGGAAACATTTACGAATCCGGAAAACTCTCCTCTAGTGTAAACCTAGTCTTAGTGAGGGATCGAGTCGACGGTCTTAAGTTTAGTACAGTAAAAGGGGGCATGTTCCCGAATCAAATTTGTGACTTCATTGAAGCAAACTTCCCGCAAATCGTGAGAGAGAAAGAGAAAAGAGAGATTGACTGGAGACATAACGTGAGCTGTACTCTTTCGCGTATGAAGTGTTTTGATAATGGAGAATATGGAAGGACCGTGATTCGTCCAGATCACCTATGGAAGTTTACTAAAGATAACAAGTAAGTCTGAGCGTTTAAGACAATTATCCTAGAAATATAAAATATACTAAAATGTATGATTTCCTTCTCATGGAGAGTCTTCGAAAAGAAGAGAAAGCAGCGAGCAAAGAGAACTCGTCCTTATAAGCTAAAAGAGAAAATCCCAGCACCCTCCTTTACCACCAGAAATGGCTGTAGACCACATGTCTGCAAAGACAGCTCCATTGAACACACTGGTAAAATCGAAACGCAGAGGTGTCGCAGGTAACACCCAGAGAGTGGTGTAATAGAAGTTTCTAATAACGGAGAAATAGATGGACTAGCAGATGATATACATTTCTAAACTTAGCATGGTCATAAATAAAATTCGACAATAAAATTGTTTACAACATGATTTTATTTTGTCTTTGTTTCGCGTAAACATACACGCATACTATGTCCCTACTACAGTGGTTACACAGTGTTCATTTCCTACTCTTTTTCATCATCATCATCATCATCGCTTTCATCCAATAACGGTTTGTTCATCAGACCATTCAATATGAATTTTCTCCTGTCCACGGCAGCCCCTAATGCCTCCTCCTAATCCATACCGTCTTCATTCATCAATCGTCGAGCGGTATGTATGACTTGCCTATGTATTTTATCCTGTTTAATACAGTTATACCACTTTAGACGATGCAAGTATAACCTTCTCAACTTACGCCTAGCTAAAGGTAAGAGCGATTTGTCATTCTCGGATGCCCCCTCTTTTTCCTGTTCTTCTTCTTGTTCAGCCAAAGTTGTTTTCATATCATCTTTCACTTCTTGTTTCAATTCTGACCACGGATTCACACTGACATTGTTATCATCATCGTCATCGTCACCGTCATCCTTGTCTTCATCTTCACCTTCATCATCATTGTCTTCATCATCTGAGTTTTCAGGCTCTTCATCTTCTTCTAGTGGTTCGCCAAAGACATCTAGATCCTGAGAATTATCAGTCATGGTCACACACACGCACTATAAGTTTTCTCGATGTGTACTTGCTGGTGGTTGTTCCTAAATGATTTCTGACCAATGTGTAGGGCTGTTTAAAGTTTCACTTTTCTAGGATACAATCGCATACATCCTTCACGTGTCAAAAGATGACTGAATTCGCGGTGAGCATTTTTACTAGCAGGATGTAAATCCAGGGTGATATACCCATAGGGTCGTTGAGTTGCCCCAGAATACACTTGCATAATATCTTGCCATTCCATGGGAAAGGCTTGTAACAATAAATTTTTGAAACCCAATTGATCGCGTGGATTTCAAAAATTTATTTTTGCAAGCCTTTCCCATGGAATGGCAAGATATTATGCAAGTGTATCCTTAGGCAAATCAACGACCCTATGGGTATATCACCCTGGATTTACATCCTGCTAGTAAAAATGCTCACCTGAAAGCAACCACGTAATGAGCATTCCTTGAAATACTTTTTGCATATTTGCCAGGTGGAAACATACCTTGACAAAGATAGATAACAGTAATGTTACGATGACGAGAATGTTTGGTGAAAGGGTCTAACACTTCTTTATCGTCTCCTCCTTCAGTCATAAGATCATCCATGACCAGTAATCCACCATCTTTAGGGAACCATTGTTTTAACTGTTCTTCATCGGGTAGGTTATCGTGAAATTTTATACCATGTTGATGCATCTCACGGTATCCATCTTGCCAAGCACCGTAACAGTAGTGAATGACGGCAGGGGGTGACGCAAACAATTCATCCAAATGTTGTAGCAGTAATGATTTGGTGAAGCAAGTTTTACCGCATCCCGAAGGTCCCACGATTAATATGCTACTGGGTGATTTGA